GCTTTTCTAGATATATGCATGCACATTTTAGCAATTACCTCACTGCTTTCTTTGTGAACATTTCTCCATGTTTGTGGGTGTTTAGTCAGCCCAAGTATGATCAGCATAGATGTATAATCGCAAGGGACTCATACCATTTTAAGGCATAATGAATTAAGGGAATAAGCAAACTGTATAGATCTCAACAGATCTAAGTCGCCAGTCAGAGGGCTTGTTGGAGAAACAAGGTCCTTTGAGGCACATCATCCCAGGGGACCTACTTCCCCATAGAATTCAAAATGGACAGCACCATGTATCTGACTGAGGCAGGTGGCACTAGATGGAAACTTCTAGAGATAAGGCCCTTCCTTGATGTCTCCACTAGTTTTTATGTGTTTTATTTATTATGGGTGCTAACGATTAAACCCAGGTCTTTGAGCTTCACTATACCACTAGGCCAAATCTCTCACATTTAACATGAAATAATGGAGATATGGCAGAGGGCAATTTTTTGTCCAGTTACTGAGACAGAAGCAGATCAGACAAGATCAATAAACTTTCAACTGATTGAATCCTAACCCAAGTTAGAATTTAAATTAAATCGCTCTAGCACAGAATCACTTGAGTCATATGTGATGGTTAGTGCCATTGGCTTGACAGAATCTTGAATCACCTAGGAGATGGGCCTCTGGGGGGATATCTTGGTTAAGTTAATTGATGTGAGAAGACCCATCCTGACTGTGAGCAGGGGATCCTGGTCTGTATAAAATGAAGAAAGCAAGCTGAGTAGACAGTCTTTGTCCTCGGCTTCCCGACTGCAGATATGATGTGACCAGCTTCTTGGAGCTCCTGCTACCTTGACTTCCCTGCCATGATGAACTGTGGCTGGAACTGTGAGCCAAATAAACCCTTTCTCCCTTAAATTGCTTGTCAGGGTATTTTTATCACAGTAACCAGTAAAGAAATGAAGACAACTGTGTTTAGCTTTTACATTAATAGGAAGCTAATAGACATGATCACTTTCTTCTAAGGAACAAAGATACACTGCACTTAAAGGCTGGAGGCAGAAAGGTGGGCATACACACAATGGAATATTATTTGGTCATAAAAAGAATAAAATCCTGTTGTTTTTATCAACATGTGGAAATGGATATCATTACGCTAAGTGAAATAAGCTGGGACAGAAAGACAGGCACTGCATGAACTTACTTATACTGAGGAAACTGGAAACTGTTGATTTCACTGGAAGCAAGTAGACAGTGGTTACTAGAGGCTAAAAGGGGGTAAAGGGCGACATGAGAGAAAGCTGGAAAATGAGTACTGAAAGCTACCTGAGGCAGTGAGTTCCAGTGTTCTATAGTTCACTAGTGGGGTGATGAGTTCACAACAACATATATTTTATAAAGAAGTTTGAAGGTCTTCAAGACAAAGAAATGGTCAATGAAGCTGGAGAGACGGCTCAGCAGGTAAGAGCACTGGCTGCTCTTGCAGAGGACCCAGGTTCAGTTCCCAGCACCCACATGGCAGGTGACAGTCATCAGTAACTCCATTTTCAGGGGATCTGACAACCTCTTCTGGCCTCCATGGGCACTGCACAAGGGTGCACGTACATACATACAAGCAAAACACTCATACACACACACATAAAATAAAAATAAACAAAAAAACTTTAAGTGTTTAAGGAGATGGAAACACTAATTGCCCTGATTTGATGATTCCACATAATATACACACATCAAATTACCACATAATCAAATTATCATATTATCAGGACTCAAGAGATAGCTCAGCAGTTAAAAGCACTGGCTGCTCTTGCACAGAACCCAGGTTTGGGCATTGCACACATGGTTGTACTTATGTACACTCAGGCAAAACCTTTGAACACATATAATTTTTAAAAATTATCACATTATCTCCTAGATATATGTACAATTATTTTAGGTCAAAAATAAGAAACTTTCTTTTTATATCTGTATGTGTATGTGCATGATACAGTGCACATGTGGAGGTCAGAGGGCAGCCTGTGGGAGTTGGTTCTCTCCTACCATGCAGGTTCTGGGGTTTGAACTCAGGTCCTTAGCCTCAGCAGCAACTATCTTTACCCACTGAGCCATCTTGCTGGCCTAAACACATGAAACTTTTCAAGTACTATCAGTATAGAAGCTAAAAACCAAGGCAGGGCTCTGGGCATAGTTCAGTTGGCAGAGTTCTTGCCCAGCATACATAGGTTTGATACCCAGCACTGCATAAACTGGATATGGTAGGCCTATAATCTCAGCACAAGGAAGGAAGGGGCTGGAGTATCCACTTGAGGTTATCTTCACTGTGTAGCAAGTTCCAGGCCAATTTGGGCTACATGAGACCCTATCTCAAAATAAGATAAGTAGGGGCTGGAGAGATGGTTCATTCATTAAGAGCACTGGCTGTTCTTGCAGAAGACCCAGGTTTAATTCCCAGCACCCACGTGGCGGTTAACAACTGTCCCTAACTCCAGTTCCAGATCCGACCCCCTCTTCCGACCTCTGCGGGCATTGCACAACACGAGTACACTTACATACATGCAGGCAATACATTCATGCACAAAAAAAAAATTAAAAATTAAAAAAGACAAGTGTATATAAAGCACTTGTCACCAAATGTAAGGACCGGAATTCAAATTCTTAGAGCTCCTGTCAAGTCAGATGCTAGCATGCACATCTGTAATCCCAGCGTGCTTACTGTGAAATGGAACATAGAAGAATCCTGGGTGCTTTTGGGCCAACTAGCCTGGGGTGGCAGCAGGAAACAAGAGTCTACCTGAAGCAATGGAAGACAAGGGACAACACTGAGGGTGACCTCTGACTTCCATGCATTATGGCATGCATGTGCCCCAGAGAGTGAGAGAGCGAGAGCGCGAGAGCGCGCGCGCGCGCGAGAGAGAGAGAGAGAGAGAGAGAGAGAGAGAGAGAGAGAGAGAGAGAGAGAAACACGAAAGCACCTGAGGCCCGTTACTAGGGTTCCTGTTCCCAGAGGACAGACATCTTCTCTGAGAACCAGGACAGGAGGAGCTCTCTTCCCCACTCTCCTGAGCTGCTCTTAACTAGGAACTGTTACTGTCAAGCATCAACTGTGGAGAACAAATGCTAGGCAAGTATTCCATCACTGAGTTATATCCTCAGTCTTCTGTTTCCAGAAGACATGAACTTCTGCCGCAGCCTACAGGGTAGCTGGGACTACAGTCCTGCACCACACATAAGGCCAGGCACTTATTTATTAACTACCTATCAGGGATTATTTCTTTACAATACAATGTTTAACAATAAATGCTAAAGAAATTTTAAAAAGAACTTCTAGGAAGGAATTGCTGAAAAATAAAATTCCGTACACTGATTGGAATATGTTAAATACAGGATCAAATGAGATAGCGCCCAAAGACCACAGCTGGATTACGTTCCTATTAATGCAGATGACTAAAAGGAAACAAAGCTTTCTGGGAAAAAAAAAAAAAAAAACAACTTCTAAGAAGTTATAAACTCTCTACCTCAAGGAGGCCCCCACTTCAAATGTGGACTTTGCCTAGAGACTTCCCTCTACCTCAGCCAGGTGACAGGCCAATAACACCAGGCACCTTTACTTGACACAAGGTTAACTGACACTTAACCTTGCTCTTCCACCCCAAAGTTCATAAGCTTATCAGGAAAACATTAGACAAATTCCAATCAGGGCAGGGGAGATGGCTCATGGGTAAAAGTACTTTCCAAGCAGGCCTCATGCGCTGAGTTCAGTTCCCAGAATCCACAGAAAAATTCAGGGGCTGGAGAGATGACTCAGTGGTTGAGAGCACTGACTGTTCTTGCAGAGGACTTGGATGGACTCTCAGCTCCCACATTGTGCTTACCAACTATATGTAACTCCTGTTGCAGGAGATTCAATGCCCTCTTCTGGCCTCAGTGGGCATTACATGACATGGGTGCAGGTCAAACACTCAAATTTTTGTGTTGTTTAATCTATGAGTTCATGTAGTTACTAGAGCTGTTGGCTTTAAAAAAATGTTTTTGTGCATTTCATATAATAGATCTTAATCAAATTTAGGCCCCCTCCCCTATATCTGTGCTCCCCCCATAGACCCCCACAGGATTTCATGCTGTCATATATGTTAAGTCCTATCCAGTCAAGCATTTGTACCCAGATGTCCATAGGTCCAAGACAATTTAAAAACCCAGATACACTGGCACACACCTGTAATCCCTATACTCCCACAGCAAGATGGGAGGCAGAAACGCAATCAACCAGTTCACATTCACAGCCCAGCATCAGCAAGACCCTGTCTCAAACAAGGTGAAAATAGATTCCTCAAAAATTGTCCTCTGACCTCCACATGTGTACTGAGCATGCATGCATATGCACAATCTTTTTTTAAAAATCTCAAATCAAGTGGCAACTTGCAAATGTTTACTACTGCTCAAAACAGTCCAGGTCATCAAAAAGGAAAGCTGGAGAAATGGGCACAGTCCAAAGGAGCTTAACGTAACACATGATCCTAAACTGAGGAAGCATATCTAGTAAATACCAAGGAAGTAGAAACAAGCTTGGGAGTTCAGCTAACAGTTACCAGGATTATGTGATATTAATACCAATATAGAAAACTAGGTGCAGAGTTTATGGAAACTAGTATCAATATTTCTATGAACCTAAAATTGTGCCTATTTAGGACTTTTTCTTTTCTGTTTTTTGGAGAAGAGTCTCACTCTGCAGCCCAGGCTGGTCTCACATGTGTGGCAATCCTGCTTTGTCTTCTTAGTGCTGGGATTACAAGCTTGAGTTGCCACATCCAGCCTACTTAGAACTTTTAAAAATTGGTTTTTACATGAATGCATAGGAATATAAATGCATAGAAATAAAAGTCCAGATATATGCTAAACCAATACTCTTATTTATGGTCATGGTCATTTTCTTACCAGAGTTGTATGAAAGACATATTTGTCAAAACAGTTTGAGAGATTAGGGTGTGAGGCAAAAATAAAAAGAGAATCAATTCAAGCTTATCTCTTATCAGCAGAAAAGTTTTATTCCTTTTAATGACAGACAAACCACATCCAAAGCCTTCACTTACAGACATAAACCAAAGAGGCCGTAGATATTAAGGTACAAGACACAGTGGGCTAAAGGTTTCACATCTGAAGCTCACACTGGTGTGGCCCATGTGACAGTGGGCTTCTAGTGTCTGGGTGGGGTGGAGGGGCTGGGGCTGCAGAACAGAAGGAGAAGGCGGTGATTATAAGTGCTGAGGCTGCAGATTGAGGGCAGAGCTGTGCAGTCCTGCCCAGGGGAAGGGGAGCAGCCAGCTCTCCCCCAGGACTTAGGCTGCTTTGCAGAGGGCCACAGCGGAGAAGCGGACCTCTCCCTGCTCGCGCTCAGTGAATTCTCTGCAGACCTTGGCAGCATCCTGAAAAGGAGATGGCATTAGTATCCAAAAAGAACTCTCTGGAAACGAAGTTTCAAAGAGAAAGTACTTCCAAGGCCAATTCAAGCTGTTTACTCTCAACTTTAAAGGATTAAGGCAGGAGGAAAAAACGCCAAGGGCAGCTGCCTCTCCACACCACGGGTCCGACTTTAGCTCTGACTCCCATTACTTCCAGCAAGTGGTTCTACATTCTCCTGCCATGTGCCTGGTGTGGCATAATCTGGTTCACTACTGCTGTGGGGAGATCAGCTTACGATATTCCAAAGCCAGGTCCCTTATAAAGAAAGGTCCCAGTGTACAGTGGCTAAGAACCTTAGTTTGGCCATTAAATTCACTAAAACCTTGGGCATTAATCTCTCTGACCTGGTTCCTTATTTATGAGATGGCGGCAGGAGTCTCACCTCCTGTAATAATTAAAGGGATTCAACAGAAGATACAAATCACTTATGATTTGCATCTGGCCAAGGAGTCAGTAAACTGCAGCTTGCAGGGCAAACCCAGCCTCTTGCCAGTTTTGTGAACAAAGCTTTGGTAGACAAAGCTACACGCATCCATTCAGGTAGTCTAACAGCTTTGGGGCTGCAGAAGCAGCACTGGATGTGGCAACAGAGCCACATGCCACACAAAGCCAGAGGCCATTCTAGCTGGCCCCTATTGTATGCATACCAAGATTAGCTATTGTTACTACTGCAAATAAAGTAGTTATACCTCAATATTTGTATTTTATCATAAGCAAAATGATTCCATTCTAGAGACTCGTTTTTAGGGTGAAAAGGCCTAGATCAGTTCAGAATTGAGTTTTCAGTTGTTACTTCTAACAGGACAATTATACAGTGGTCCTGAATCTTCCAAGTTTTTTTCTTATTCTCCCCCCTGTCCAAGATTTTATTAATTTTAACTATGTGTATGTATTACGGGGTGCATGGGTGTGTGTGCATGCGCGCGTGCACACACGTGAATACAGTGTTCACAGAGGTCAGAAGAGGCTGTTGGAACCCCTGGAGTGGGACTTAGAAGTGGTTTTGAGCTGCTCCCGACGTTGAGTGCTGGGAACTGAATTCAGGTCCTCTGCAAAAGCAGGAGGCGCTCTTAACTGCTAAGCCATCTCTCTAATCAAGTGATCCTGAATCTTAAAGTCATTTCAAACCTGCTTTCAATCTCCTTCTCTCCTGTAGCAGCACACCATATGGGAGAAAAAAAATTGAGTTTCCCTAGCCAAAATTTATAGTATATACCAAACAAGGTTGACCCATATTCCAGGAGCCTCAGAGGACTAGGGAAGGTGGAAGACACTGATACTCCACTCTTCAGTGATGCTGAAACCTGACAAGAGGACAAGGGCTACTTTAATCCCACATGAAAGCCCAAGCACTGGCTTCCCTGCTAATTCTACGAACTAAAGACGGCACATGCATCAGATTAGCAAGGGCTTCTTTGAAGGATCCCATTCAAAACCACCTGCCATAAAATGAAACAGGTAGAGTTACCAAGATGATTTTTAAGCCCCAAAGAATGCTAATAACAATAACAACTGATGCTCAATGAACAATGATGCTAAGAGAAGCCTGGCTGCGGCAGGGAGAGGTGCACTCCAGGGGTTACCTGCAGCAGGGAGTCCTCTGAACTGGTGCCATGGTTCACTGGAAAAGGCATTCGCCCATCTAGAACAAACAAGCCAGGCATGTCAACTTCCCCTGCATATTCTTAGGATACAGTAGCTGCTCTACCCAGAGGATTTTTAGATTCTTCCAAACACTGTTATCAGTCCAACAAAGGGAAGCTTGGTCATGAGGCAATAGGCTGCAAAGGCAGCCTCCAGGCAATTCTAGTCCACAACTGAGGTCACACAGACCTAATCCAGCTACCAGAATGTTGGGGGGGAGGTTGTATCCCCATGTTTTTGGAAGAACAACTGAGCAAAAGCTAGGGGCAATCTCTGGGGTACAGGAAAGAGTGCTTTGAGGTTCTAATTGCCCTTCAATGACAGCAAGTCTGTCTCCATTAATATAAAAGGGACGAATTTTCACAACTTGGAGGTTCCTTTTTTTTTTTTTTTTTTTGGGTCTTTTTGAGAAGAGGTTCCTCTGTAGCCCCAGCTGTCCTGGAACTCACTATGTAGACCAGGCTGGCCTTTAACTCACAGAGATCCACCTGCCTCTGCCTCCCAAGTGCTGGAACTACAGGCGTGCACCACCATGCCTGGCAGAGGTTCCTTTTTATTGCTATAAATAGGAATAATGCCCAAGAGATCCAAATTCATTTTACACAAGCAAGGTCTAATCACACATTGATCCCCTTGTAAAATGGACATTAGAGGACACTATAAGGGAAGGGGGAGAATCCATGAATCCAGTTGTCAATCTGATCTACCCCCCACCCCCTTACTGATTTGTCACTGAAACCATTCACAGGGTATTCCAGTTGCCTGAGGGTACTCTGGGTGTGAGACAGGGTAAGCACCCCCCATGGGAATATATTGCTCTGGCTTCAAGATCACAGAATATGCACTACCAGAAAGTCACACACTAATACTATAAAGAGAAATTAACCTTTAAGAATGCATTAAATCGTAGTAGATTCCAAAATGGGAGTGAACATACCAAGTTCATAGAGGTGGCCATCCACGTTGTTAAACAGAATAAAATGAAAATTCACCTTGTCATCTACCTAAAAGAGTCAAGAGAATTTTTTTTGAAAAAATAAGGTGTAAGATGAACTTGTTAGAAATGAAGTCTCTTCCAATCTAAGTGGAATATAATTGAAAGAGCTTGCTGATATTAAAACCAAAATTATACCTGACATTTCCATGCTTCCTACCTAAGGCGTATCCCAAACCGACAAAGAGGAAGTGCTGGGACGGTTAGGGTGGCTCCTCGGATGCTAGGTACTACATGCTTTTTATTGAGGAGGAAATCAGGCTTAGAGAGGGTATCTTGCCCAAGGTCTAGAAAGTAGCAGAGCCAACCACAGACAGGCCCTGGCTTCTGAGTTAAACTTAGCAGTTGACTTGAGGTTCTGTTCACATTATGGTTTATTTATTTTTTGGTGTTAGAGATAGAACCCAGGGGATCTCACAAACTAAGAGCTATTTGAGGGCAACAGACTGAGTGTGAACATTAAGTGGGGAGGGTTTTCTGGTGTCAATGGGCCTCGGTGGGCAACACTTGCTGGTTACTACATCCCAGTTAATATTCCTGCAAATATTCCAATGGAAACACAGATGGCACCTGGGCAGCCTGGCTCGGATTTGTATTTGCATTTACCCGACACTGGCCTTCCTGGGCCACAGCATCATGGGCTGCCTGAATGGCCTGCAGAAAAGAGAAAACAATTAGCACAAAGCCCTCCAGAGTTATTAAAAAGCGATGCTCTGGAAGATCTTCCTACCTCATTCTTTTCAAAGCATTTTGCTCTGTCTTCAGGGGACATCTTCTCTGTTTCAGAAAGAAACTGTTTCAGGACTGATCCATCCTCTTTAAAAAGAAGAGGTACATATTAGATAACACAATGTAAACAGGCTACATTTATGCCCACTTAAGCCTTTGCACACCTGGCCCCATGAATGACCTGAATAATATGGCCTCCAGGAATGTAGACAAGCTGCCCCTTTCCCCAGCCTCTCTTCTCAACCCCTCCTTCACAGCAGTGGTCAAGCCAGACAGGCCGCTCCATTCTTCCAGTGCTCAAGTTCTTTCTTTCACTTGGTCCCAGACAACCCCCCTCTTGTCCCATGCATTTTTCAAATCACATCATTTTCCTACAGTACTCATATCTGGACTATATATTTGTGGGATTTTTAGTGCCATAAAAGCAGAGCCTACCTTGTCTATTGCATGTCATAACTTAAACATCTATGGTATAAATGATGCTACAGTAATATTCTAATCTAATAAGAGTCCCCAAACCCAGATTTTTCATTTCTGAGTGGAAAATGCAATCTAGAATAGTATTAGAACAAAGGTGTTAAACAAATGTGAAAACCTGAGCTCTCTGGCTTAGAGACCACTACTGGCTGACTCTGTTATAAGCGCTGCTACTGTTCAGCATAGATGACTATAGAAGTCCCTGACAGCCCAGGTATAGCAAGAGTCACTTATATTTCAAAAGGCCTTGATTTGAACTACCAGCTCTATATTTAAGAAATGTGGTTAATGAGGATCATTTCAAAATCTAGAGGAGCTCAGGGTATGGCTCCATGGGACAGAGTTTACCCAGCCCTGGATTTAATTCCCATCATGGGAGGGAGGGAAGGAAGGA